GCTTTTTGAATGGAGGTCTTCACGGGGGCCCATCTGTTAACATTCTCGGGGACCCTCGATCATTCGGAGCCCTCTTCATCGTGCCGTGGGTATTTCACAGTTGAATGGATGCCCCTACGCTCTTGTCGGCGGCCCGATCTTTTCACCTCCTTTGAATTTAGGGCGCTGCTCTCCTGCCGGGGGCCGTCTGGTAACCTGCTAGGGTACACTCCATATTTCGGTGACCCTCTGCACAGGGTTTGGATACTTCTTATTTGAATGGAGTGCCTTACGCTCCTGTCAGGTCTCTTCTGATAAGCTGCTGGGGTGCATTTCATCGTTCGGGAGCCATCTGCATTGGGTCCTGAGTGCTTCCTATTTGAATGGAGGGTCCTACACTCTTGTTAGAAGCCCTGTCTGTTAAGACGCTCGGACACACGTCATCCTTCGGGGGCCCTCTTCATTGGGTGTTGAGGACTTTCTCTTTGAATGGAGGTCTCTGAGCTCTTCACGGGGACCCGATGTAATAAGCTGCTCGGGAACAGGTTCGCGCTCCCGTCGGGGGCCTCTCCCATCTGTTACCTGCTCGGGCACACTCGATCGTTCCGAGGCTCTCCATGCTGTGTTTTGGTTGCTTCTTAGTTGAATGGATGGTTCTATGTTTTTGACGGGCCTGCTGCTTTTCCCTATTCAGCTGCTGGAGCCGGTGGTGGATATAGACGGGGAGCGGAAGCTACAAGCTACGGTATCATACCCCCCCCCCCCCCGCCATGAACCATGCCGAGGGACCTATAAGCTGCCAAGGGGCCCACAGCTGGCCGACCGGACGCAGTTTTCTAACGAAACGTTACATGCAACTCAATTGGGCGTCTTTCGGCCTACAGACAACCAAGAACGGTTACTGCCAAAAGTGAAGACTTCATGAGCAGATGAAGTTAATTCTTTGCTGATTGAGAGGTCGTTGCTTGGGGAAATTTTGGGGTTAATTACGGTGTCCAGAGACACATAGCGCTGTTTCTTGGACCCTATATGTCCACTTGCCGGGTCAGTCTGATCGCAAGGGAGCTTTCTACGTTGCCCCTGATATCTTTACACTTTCTCGTGGGGCCCAATGCCGCTGTTGGGACGCTATCTGCTTCTATGCCTGATCACTCTTGATCGATCAGGTTTTCCTCCACGGATTTCTCCCGTTTTCCCGAAAGGCTGTGTACACTTTTCCGGGGCGTCATACGCCAGAGTACACTCAGTTGCTCAGCGGCCCATCACATTAGTATCGAGTTCTTTCCGCTTATTTGAGGGGCCTGAGCTCTAAAAGGGGTGAAGGGTTCGTATCTCCCTGCATTTCAGCCGGGCGTGTTTTGTCCAAAAATGATCGCCGCAAATGGTATTATCTGTTTTCATACTGGCATCTCCCAGATGCTCTTTATATCTCAAACCAATAAGGTGCGGGGTCTCCCAGACATCGGCGATATCACTCCTATGTTGTTTTTTCACAAAGATTAGACTTGACACGCGCACGGGTGGGGATAAATTGACCCCGCCCCCTGCAATTTTTCTGGAATGATTTCGGAATGACGCGACGTAGCCGCGCCAAATTTTGCATAGCAGTAGACAACTAAATAGCGGATCGTCTGGCGTCAAACATTTAGATGCACTATGCAAGGCCACGGACCTGTGGCAGGTCAGAGTTAGGTCATGGTTTCATTGAAGGCATTTTTAGGGATTCATTCAGTCTGATCCAACAACGGAGTGTCAAGCGAAGCCATGCATCTCTGAAATACTTTCTTAGGATACACAACAATTGAATAAGCAAATTAAAATGAACTAGGGTCAGGTGTGGAGGTCAGACCAAGATCGGGATTGACCGTTTTTATTACTCTAGGGCTTGCTGTATGGGGTAGTTTCTGGTGCTCATTTCAAATTTATTGATAACAGAAACCACATTTTACACCTTCCACGGACTTCTTAAAGGTCGGAATAAATCGCTGATTTAAAATGCCCCAGGTCAACACGTTATTTTTAGCAGCACACTGCCTAGCGTAATCTTTGACCCTTATCCAACTGCAAAACTCAAAGCAGTCTTGTATGATTTCGGTCACCATGACTTTCACAAGGTCAAACAAGGCCACTGATCTCAAATAAGCATGTGACCTTTTGCTTAATAGCATTTGCACTTGCCTAAGTAGCATTTATTGCCCCTCGGGCAATTGGGCTTCGAGGTAGGATATTTCACCTTAGACTTATTTTAGCTTATTGTTCGTCCAAGTTATGCGTACACGCAGTTTCGATTTCCTAACGACATGTTTGATTTTCAAAAGCAAGTGCTCATCTGTGTAAGGTGGTGTTAAGAATCCGTCGGTTGACGGGGTGTGTCCCCGTTTCCCGCCATACATTCCCCCACGTGCTCTAGATGTTTTGACCTCTTCCAGCATTCAACCTAAAGATCGTGGAGAATATCCATTGCCCAACAGCTAGGTCCATATTTGTATGCCCCTTCCGTCTTTTTGGCTGCTTGATAAGTTGCTTAGAGCCGTATTTGCCGCCTCCGTGGTCTTGGGGAAAGGTGCTGGACTCGTGAACCGGCGCCACTGGGTACGAGTCCCAGAGTGGGTGCACTGTTTGACCCGACTAAAATGGAAAGGCCAGCTGGCAACTGGCCAACGAGGTTCAACCCACACCCGAGGCGGCCGTGTCACAGCATTGTGCAGCACGTAAAACCCTCTGCATTCCTGTCTGGCGAAAGGACGGAGGCAAAGTTAGCTGTTGGACTGGACGGCACGCTTGGGTGGTAGGTTCGGGGTACACGCAACAAGCTGTGGTTATCAGGTACTCTGAATCCGAAATCACCCATACAACCATTCGGAAAATTAATTTAAAAAAACAAAAAAATATGGAGCGTATTTCGAATTATATTGTGTTTCGTGGAAGTCGGATGCGCAGATTCGCAGTGCAGAATCATACCAGAGTTGGTGGGCTTGATCACAGCTCTGTTTCTAACGTTGCACAGTTGTTCTTTTCTACCGGCACTAGTGTATCGAAATGCGGACCCCCTTTCTGTGTCGTCCGTTGTAAAGGCTGAATTGGGTACATAAAGTGGGTTAACACTAGCTGACATAGATGAACACTTGCTCTGGAAGATTCAACATATCTTTACAAAATTAAAACCGCGCTTACGCATAGCTTAGAAGAACGATAAGGAGCTAAAGAATTCTCTAGTCAAATATCTTATCTCGAAGCCTAGGTGCTCGGGGTGCGATAGGTGTCATATACGCATGTCATGTCATTGGGGCTCTACGACGCACCCAGCTGCTGAGGCTTCCGGCGTCGCCTGCCTCTCACCCTGGCAGGAAGTACAGGCACCGCGGGGAATCGAACCCTGTACATCTGGTTTCCCAGACGCGCAGTGGTCAACGCAGACGACTCAACCACTACACTACCGGCACCCCGTCATATACGCACGCCTGGGTTTTAAGGGGTTTGCGCGCGAAGAATTGTGGTTTGCGAATTTAAGCGTAAACTGCGCGAAAAACATGGGAGGCACATGGTCTATGTAGGGAGGTCCGTGCGTCCTACTCGTTTCATTTGTGATGAACACCTGCGAGATGCTAAAAACGAAACAGATGATAAAAAGAACTCTTCGGCGACCGGCGACCAACACCGGAAACGTGTAATTTTCACATCGTGAAAAGGCTGGAGGACACGTGTTGGCAACCGATTCGGGTTTCGGTAGCCAAGTGTCGCAGTCATCAGACTTGTTGGGGAGGAGATCTCCTCCTTCAGGAGGAGAGGAGATCACAACTAGTCCACCAACCTATCAGCCGCGTGACACCGGTGGCAGAGTGGAAAGTCCTTACCCATTTTGCATGAAATCGATCTCACTTGCTCACTATCACTTGTCATCTCTAGGGTCCCATATTTGTCACCCCAGCAGCTAGACGTGGTGAAAGTGATGTACGAAAATAACACCACATGGTGAAAGTGATTCCTTGCTTGAAGGCCGTCGAGAGCCTTCTCAGTTAGGTTATGTCCAAACAAGTGTGCGTGGGTAGTCGCTTAGTGCGTGGGTAGTCCCACAAAAGGCGGATCGTGATTGAACACGTCCACGTCCTTCGATCCTGGAGTCGACAGGTGAGACTGAGCTGGGTGTGACGAAGAGCAGAGAGAAACTCACCCATCATGGGTGCTTCCACATTTGCGCGCGCCGACTGTTCGCGGGAGGGTCACGGACACGTCTTCCGCGTCGTGACCGGCCAAGCAGTAGATACAACACTTCTCACTTCTCACTTCTCACCACGTCCATGGAGTTGCCGCACCTTCTCTAGTACGCGCAGACCGTGAGCTCGTGGACGAGGCTGCAAAGAAACAGGCCGGCATCCACGCAAGACGTCATGAGTCATATGTTGGCCATATCACGAGAATCAAGGCAAGTTTGTGGTTCATATAACAGATCGTGTCCCGTAATTGACTCAGTCGAATAAATATCTCGAAATTATGCCCTGCATTATTCATGAGGCAGAATCAGAGGCCGCGTTCAGCTCTTGCGTCCTGTCCGGAGGTGGAATCAAAGTGGATCTTTTGTGCTTTGAGCCTGAGTTGGAATTAGTTTTGCTGGTGCGAAATTGACCACAAGTATGACATCATGCCACTTATTTTACTGTCACGCCCTTCTAAAAGAACTTGGGTAACTTTTGCAAGGCTGGAACTTGTTTGTCAATCACGTGCGCCGCCCACAATCGCAGTCTGCATCCTCCGATAGCTGCAGGCCCAAACACGATATCCACCGATAATGCCCAGATGTAGTACATTGCAACATGCTGTTATAATGCTATGGCGGGGATCGCCAGCAGGCAGCGGTCGATAGCACAGCAGCAGCGTCTAGTAATCGGAAACCATACCGGCACGCGCGACAAGCAGTCTCAATGACGTCACTGTTGCCGAACAAGATATCACGCCTTCTTGCGTCCCCTCCCGTAGTCAACGTAATATTTGTCCTTGCATTCCCCGGCAACATCGTCGGGCACCACGTTCTCGGTCAGGCGCACGAAGTTGCTCCACGGACAGCTGACGTCGCAGCCGGGCAGCTGCAGCTGGTGCGGCTCCGTGGAGCTGTCGTTCCTGTAGAACAGCTGCACCAGCGGCCCCGCGTCCGGGCCCGAGTGCAGCTCCACCAGCAGGCAGCTGGCCAGCGGCGGCGCTAGGCCGTTGTAGACCTGCGGCGGGGACGAACGGGTGATGATGGATAGGGGGCCTAGGCGACGCGGAGACGCGAGGACGGTGAGGACGATCGGGCGCTGGACGTGGTGCGTTGACACGAGCATGTTTGGTCTGTTGCGATTTAAGCATGTTACGCGTGTGGAACAAGCTCTGACGGGCATTCCATAGATCTATGCCTTGCGCATGTTCGACATAGGCACCTAACCGACTAGCTGTGCATTTTGTCTTACCGTCATCATTTTTAGCCAAACAGATTACGGATGATACTCTGAAGACAATTTGGCGCAGAGTGGAGGATTTACAGGCTCGCGGACATGTAAGAGGCCTTGAACATGTAACATGTAATGTAAGAGGCATGTAATGTAATCGCGGACATGTAAGAGGCCTCTCCGAGACTATCAAGGTACGGACCCCCAGAGCGACCGGGGAGTCACGGCCACAGATAAAATGGACGTAGGGCGACATGGTTGTCGAGACAGCGGCTTCCGGGTTCGGCAGGAGCTACTAAAGCTACCGAGAGAGGGTTCGCCGCACGGCTGAAGAACGGCTCGGAGACGAGGATTCCACCACTCTGCAGAATCCAATGCAACCTGGAAGCTTGACACGCAGCCCAAGCACTCCCGCAAAAGGGATGACAAAATTGCGATACGTGCATGACGCTCATTAAGCGGTCGGCGTCACCGAAGCAAATCTGCCTGAGTATGTGAAAAGTTAAGACGCCCGTGGAAGGCTCATAAATGTCAAAGCCAATGATGGTCCCAAGGTGATCCGGTCTGTGGGGTGGCTTAATCCTCTTGTGGGGTTTGTCTCTAGGCCGGCGCAATCATTGCATGCTGCTGCTTTGATTTATGGCTGCTGCTATGATTATATGCTGCGATCATTATCACCAAGATTTCGCTGCCAAGTTTTCAGCTTCTAATGTTATCATTGATCCACGTCAGCTTTGGCTTACACCTCTTTGAACTCTGTTCTCAATAGCGAGACATTAAGCCCCAGACCAAATCACCTAAAACCTTCTCCAACTTGAAATCAAGGCTGGTGCTGAAAACCATCCACAAAAGCCATCCCGTCCCTGTTCCTACGAGGGGCCCATTTAGTTTTCTCGGCGGCTGCACGACTGAGAGTGAGAACAGTACGTCACACACAGCACGAAAACGTCACCAGCGAGCGTACCTGCAGCGTGGTGAGGACACAGGCCACGTTCACGTCATGCGCGGAATACATGAACATCCTCCGGCTGGGCGGCTGCAGCGTGCCATCCACTCGCGCCTGCAAAAATTGCCTTCAATGAAACCATCACCCAACTCTGACCTGCCATAGGTCCGTGGCCTTACATAGTGCATCTAAATGTTTGATGTCAGACGATCCGCTATTCAGGTGTCTAGAGCTATGCAAATTTTGGCGAGACGTAGCCCTGCCATTCCTAAATCATTCCAGAAAAAAATTTCAGGGGCGGGGTCAATTTGACCCCCACCCGAGCGCGCGTCAAGTCTAAGCTTGGTAAAAAAAAACAACAGAGAAATGATATCGCCGATGTCGGGGAGCCCTTGCGCTTTATTGGTTTGAGATATAATGAGCGTCTGCGAGATGCCAGTACAAAAACATAATACCATTTTCGGTGATCATTTTTGGACAAAACACGCTCGGCTGAAATCCAAGGGGATACGGACCCTTAACCCCTTTTAGAGCTCAAGCCCCCCGAGTAATTGGAAAGAACTCGATACTAATGTGATGGGCCCCTGAGCAACTGAGTGTGCCCTGGCGTATGACGCCCCGGAAAAGTGTACACAGCCTTTCGGGAAAACGGGAGAAATCTGTGGAGGAAAACCTGATCGATAAAGAGTGCTCAGGCGTAGAAGCAGATAGCGTCCCAACAGCGGCATTGGGCCTCACGAGAAAGTGCAAAGACATCAAGGGCAACGTAGAAAGCTCCCTAGCGATCAGACTGACCTGGCAAGTGGACATATAGGGTCCAGGCAACAGCGCTATGTCTCTGGACACTGTAATTTACCCCAAAATTTCCCCAAGCAACGCCTTCTCAATCAGCAAAGAATTAACTTCATCTGCCCATGAAGTCCTTACTTTTGCCAGTAACCGTTCTTGGTTGTATGTTGGCCGAAAGACGTCCAATTGAGTTGCATGTAACGTTTTGTTAGAAAACTGTGTCCGGTCGGCCAGCTGTGGACCCCTTGGGAACCTATAGGTCCCTCGGCATGGTTCATGGGGGGCATGATCCCGTAGCTTCCGCTCCCCGTCTATATCCACCACCGGCTCCAGCAGCTGAATAGGGAAAAGCAGCAGGCCCGTCAAGAGCATAGGACCATCCATTCAACTAAGAAGTAACCAAAACACAGCATGGCGAGCTGGGAAGTTGTTGGGAATCCATAGGCTTGACGGATGGAGGGTGTCTGATGGCTTCATTGAAACGGGGACTGTTAACAGAGGGTGGTGTGTTTGTGTGTGTTTCGGGCAGATGCGATAGTTGTGATGCGACGTGATACAAACAGGTTATACAGGATGAGATGATGTAAGGCCGGTTTATGTTAGGCGTAGGCTACTTTCATGGAAATAAGCCTTGGTATTTTGCAAGAAACAGTGACAAAATGTTTGTTTTCCCTGACCCCACCTTAACAGAAGCCAGAAGTATGTCTGTTGTGTTTGACTTGGTGATGGGCTGATGTGTAGGAACCCAAAGTTTTTGTTTGAATGTTTTATGCTTGTTGAATTTTCTGTTGTTGTTTTGTTATTATTTTGTTATTTAATTCTTTTGCTTCGTTTTGTTTTAAAAGTGCTGTGGAAGGAATTGAAAAGTGCAACATCAAATTATTGGTGATAGTAATTTGTTATGCTCATAGTACTGTCATGAAATTGCGATGCCTTAACACGCGCCCGCTTGGCCGGCTTGGCCCTTCGCTCGGGTGTGGGGGGGGGGGGTCAATTTGAACCCCCCTCTGAGATCTCGGGAGCTAAAAATCTAGAGACACCATATTTACAGGGTGTCTTGAACTATGCGTGAACTCACTTAGGTTAAGGTTTCAGCTTCCTAGGTCATGACCTTCATGTCGAATAAGGTCAAACAAGGTCAAATTCCAGGTTGGTCTCCAAAGCACCCCCAGAACCTAGGCAACTGTCTCTAAGCAGGTCACAAGCCCATTTGAGGTCATTGGTCACATGAGGTCATCAGGTCCTTGTTTGACGCTTTGAAGGTCACAGTGACCAAAGTGATACAAGACTGCTCTGCGTTTTCATTTGAATAAGCGACAAAGATTACGCTAGGCAGTATGTTCCTAAAACAAAAGGTTCGACCCGGGTCGTCTAAGGTCAATGATCTGTTCTGACCTCTAAGAAGTCAACTGGAAATGTATTATGTGGTTCCTGCTGTCAATAAATTCGAAATGAGCACCAGCAATTACCCCGCACAGCAAGCCTTAGAGTAATAAATCAGGTTGGTTTTGACCTTGGTCTGACCATCATACCTGACCTTAGATCAACGTAATTTGCTCATTCAATATTTGCGGTGCCTAAGAAAGCATCTCAGATATGTGTGTCTTCGTCAAACACTCCGTTGTTGTATCAGATTGAATGATTCCCTAGAAATTCGCTGAAACCATGGGCTGACTTTGATCTGTCAAAGGTCAGCGATCTTACAAGGTACATCCAAAATTTGTATGTCAAACGATCTGCTATGCAATTTTTACAGCTATGCAAAATGGCAAAATGTGGCGCGGCTACGCCGCGCTGCTCGAAAACCATTCGGAAAAAACCCTTGGGGGGAGGGTCAATTTGCCCCCCACCCACCCGAGTGCGTGTTAATGTATTCTGTTTCAATGCAATGGCCTAAGATGTTAAAAAAACGAAATAGTTTTGTCATGTTTATGACATTACGTCCATGCCAACTTGAAATAAATGTCTTTGTTTGCTGAAGCATCAGTCACGAGCTCATAAGTTCCGTCTTTTTGCGATGGATTTTTCACTCCCACCCTAGTTCAAAAGCGATTCTAGCTCCCTGCTCCTGGGGGATGCATGGGCTCTGCCATAAGCCGGGTTTTCACACGCTCTGTACAAGGCGATGTCCCTGGCGCCGTGACTTCAACGCGGCGTAGCCGCTAGCTATGGGGCGTAACGCCGCGGGGTAACCGGAACATCGGAAATATTCATGCGCGTAATAAGCAAGCTGGTAGCAACAGGCGTACATGACCAGCGAGCGGTTTACGTAGCATTCAGTGGCAAGCATGATGGTGTGATATACTGCTGACTACTGATAGGCAGTGACTTTAGAGGTGAAAACGTACACATGATAATTATACGCCCATAGCACAGAGCGCCGGACTCTCTTCGTTTTGATGATGAACCAACCCTTACCGGCCGGTGCATAAGTCCAGTAAGCAAGACGAGAGCCAATCGCGTAGAACTGTGAACACATCGGATATGGTCACGTGCTTTGCAATCTTATGTGACTAACCATTGCCATGAAATCGGCGTGAAAATTGAAAACGTTTACACAGAACTGCTACAGAGAGGACGGCCAGTACATCGGACTGCCTTCTCACCGATCATGAATAAACTCCGGAGGGTATGTGCATATGAACACGGAGCCAAGGCGCAGGATTATAAACGTAGTATGATGATATGCTACGCAAGTTTATATGCCTGGCGGTTTAAATGCAATTAGTGTAAAAAAGCAAGGGGCGGTGCACGCGCGAAACTGTGGGAGATAGGCAAGCTAAAACTTTGGGCAATCATCCTACCAGTAACAAGCAGATTACCAGTAGTAGACACATATATCCATGAACCGATCAGGTAGAACTGTATGATGAATGTGAGAATGTGTTTTGCAAGGTTCTATTCCACGAAGCCGTTACCATTCAGTTGGCAAAAGAAGTGAATACGCCTCTTCAAAGGGCGTGGGTACTAGGCGGGGGCGATGAGCCCCAAACCTCCTGAAAATTTAGCATTGATTTGACCTCATGGTTATTGACTGGGAGAAGAAACCAACAGGCCTGTTGTCCTTTCTCCTCCCACCAACGTGCGAGAACTTCCATTGTCCGTGCCCCTTTGCGGGAGCCGGCTAACCTCCACCAGCGGCGGGCACGACCGCGGAGTGCCAGGCCGTATAACATCGAAGTGCATTGTAGTGGCCCACCACTTAAGATTGTCGCAATCATCATCATACTCGTCGTTGAATCTATGCAACCGACTCGCTGGTTACAGACATCTACCAGTAATGGTGTGCTCGCTGTGGGTCAGAAGACACAACGGTTTTCCCGCCGGCCCATTGCGAATAAGTCTCGTGGGTGTCTTCCCTTTTCTTGTTATTGCATTCTAACGATTTGCAGCACATGCCTGTAAAGCACATGATCATTTTCGCTATAGGATTCTAAGTTATCGTCTCGCTATTTGTATGGACATTCCGCTGGCGGCTTTCTCATTTCTAAACCAGTGGCATATCCATTAGGCATGAACATTGAAATAAGTGCTATGTCGTGGTTAATTCGCTGAAATTGATGCGCACATGTGATTCCGGCCAGAGAAACCAAAGCGGGCAGAGATGGCGAGGACGGTCCTGTCAAAGAGCGCTGAACCGTCCAGCCTTAAGCCCTACGACCTTGACGGGCGTGTCTGACGTACCGGTCGAAAGGTTAAAGAAAAACGAAGACGATGTTGCGAGTAGTAGGTGCAATTACAACGAATTGACTCACTTATCTGCTCATACTACACTTCCAGTGTCTGGACCTCTAAACTTACTCTTCGCTTTTGTCGAGGCGTTTGCTTTCTTCGCTGCGGTCGCCTCGGTTCCCCACGCCTCTCTGGAGCCAGGAAGGCATGTGGGACCGAAGCTTATAGTACAGTCCAGTGCAGTTAAAACACGCCTGCAGTGGCTGCAGCCTGCACGGCTTAAGTATTGCGCAACGAGATCTGTGTGGCCGCGACTCACTGCAAGATTGTGATATCTACGTGTGCACCCACGTGTAAATCCCACCTGTGTATTGATCACCAGGAGGACAATACTCTCACCACTTTGTTCCAGTAACGCGTGCGCACGATGCCTACGACGGCAATACGAGAGTTGGCACGTGTTGGCGCGCATTTGGTAGCTCGTGGAATGCAATGCAACATCGTCTTCTCACCAGCCTTTGGAACCACATCTCCAAGACTTCCAACTACGATGGTCATGTTCGGTTCGGCGGTTCCAGGCCACGACCGCCTTGCTTGCCGTCCCACGCCCCGCC